CCATATGTATATATACCATGTTTTCTTTATCCATTCATCTGTGAAGGGCAGGCATCTAGTTTGGTTCCATAGTTAAACCATTGAATTGCTATAAACATTGATGTGCCTGCGTCACTGTAATATTGACATTTTTAACGAGGTATTTTATGCTCCTCTTTCATATTAAGTCTTCAAAAACACATGTGTTTTACATGGAAAACAATTTTAATTAGGACTAGCCACAATGCAACTGCTCAATAGACATTACAGGACTAATAGCTTCCATATTGGACACATCTAGTGTCCTGGTCTCTTAGGAACAGAGCCATGCCGCCATCTGGTGGTAATTTAGTCACATAGCAACCCTGACACCCACTGTGGGCCACGCTTTGAAGTGGCAATGAAGATATAACTTGACCCTACTTGCTCTTTGAGTGCCTTCAACCTAGAGTTCAGAACAAAGGATTCAAAGTTCCAGAAACAAAGCGGCCTACAGTGCCCTGGTATTTGGTGGTGAAAAGGTTCTAACAATGAAGGTATTTCACAGATATAGAAGTAAGAGGGGGAATGACCTGCTTGGAGCCAGAAGATAAATACGAAGCTGACCTAAATGAAAGACACCGTGGCCAGACTACCAGCATCTGTCACTGAAACAATGGAAACTGCTTAAAAATAGTTTTTGTTTTTACTAAATAACAAATATATTAATAGGATTCAAAATCCTAAAGTGAAAAGCAAAGAGACTCTCCCATACTCCCTAATTACTCAGTTCCCCTTTAGTGAGGCATTACAATCAATACTGTGATATTGCTTGTTGGCACGTTATTTTTACATGTGTAAATCTATCTGTAGAATGGTTCATGAAATGGAATTTTGGGCCCAAGGATATGCAATTTTGTTAATTAAAAGAATCATTTAAAAAAAATTTGGCTTTACTTTATACACTCTACATCCCATAAGTTCACTATTTTGTTAAGTGTTCTACTTAGTTGTACATGATAGCAGAATGCATTTCAATACATTGTAAACAAACGGAGTACAACATTTCAATTCTGTGCCTATACACGGTGTAGAGATGTACCATTTGTACAGTCATTCATGTACCTAGGATAATGATGTCTATCTCATTCCACCATTTTTCCTACCACCGTAACCCCTCACCACCCTCCCCTTTGCTCAATCCAAAGTTCCTCCATTCTTCCCATTCCTGCCCCCCCATCATAGATCAGCAGCCACTAATCAGAGAAAACATTTGGCCTTTAGTTTTTTGAGGTTTTCTTTGCTTAGCATAATATTCTCCAACTCCATTCATTTATCTGCAATTGCCATAATTTTATTCTCTTTTATTATTGGGTAATATTCTACTGAGTATAAGTTCAGTATTTTAAGTGTGCAATTTGAGAAGTTTGACAAAGGTATAGGTAGTTATATAATCACCACAACCATGATATAGAACATTTCCATCACTACAGGAAGCTTCCTTGTTGCTGTTAGTAGTTAATTTCCTTATTTCCACCACTGCTTCTGGAAACGACTAGTCTGTTTTCTGTACTTTACAAGGTGGCCTTTTCCAGAACATCATACAAATGGAATAGCATAGAATATTATCTTTTTCCTGTCCAGTGTGATTCATCCATATTGTTACAGGCATCATATAGCACAGTAAGAACTTTGTAAAAACTATCAGCAGTATTCTATGACATATCACAGTTTATTCATTCACTAGTTGATGGACATTGAATTGTTTGTAGTTTCGAGTTATTAGGCATAATGTTTCTATGGATGTTCGAGTAATCTTTGAGCTTTCATTTCTCCTACACGTATATCTAGAAGTGAAATTTGTAGGTCATATGATAAGTGAATATTTAACTTTACAAGAAGCTGCCACATTGCCTTCTAAAGACATGTACCATTTGTTTGCCATTAGTAATTAGATTTCCAATTGCTCTTTACCCTCACCTGCTCTTGGTTAGAGAGTGCAGTGCCTGACATCATGTCTTTAATTTTAGCTATTTGGTGGATATTTAAAGGTATTTCCTTGTGGTTTAAATTTGATGACTAATGGTACTATACGTCATTCATATGCTTACTTGCTACTTGTGTACATTTTTTAAATTGGACTGCTTGTCTTATATTAAGGCAAAAGAGATATTTGTTGCCTGGCCTGCTCTTGTTCTTTGTTTTACCACCATGAGTAAGAAAGTCTTCCTTCTGTTTTCACAGTATAAGTAGAACCATCCTGTACTGCTTCTGGGTCTGTATTCTATTAACTGCTTCTTGTCTTTTTTCTTTGTTTTAATGAATTTTTACCTTTTCCAGTTTATTGAAGTAGTAATCTTTTTGTTTTTAGATATAAATTTATAGTTCAAAAAACTGACAGAGCCATTGCCCCAAAACTATCAAGAACATCCCTATAGTTAAAGACAGATTGAGTTCTTCCTTGCTGCAGTCAGGGAGTATATATACCAAAAACAAAAGTGTGAGTCATCTTAGGACAGTATGTATGTGTGGAGGGGGGTTGTTAATGCAGGTCTAGGTGGTAGAGTTAGTTATAAGATGGTATTGATAGGGATTATTCAGAATTTATAAACTAGGTATATAACAATTCGGAGTCTCATTTTTATAATATTCAAGTTTCTTTTCTCTGATTAGTTTTTAGTCTTATAAATATTAAATGAGACTTATAGGCGGTAACTAGATTGGATTGAGCTCCTGCACTAAATCCCAACAGACCAAACCAAAATGAAGTCACTCTTGCTGAAGTTCCAGTGCACCAATCCAAACTAAGTCATTTAGTTTTGGAAATCAGGAGGGATGATAGTCAAATCCCCAAACAGGTTGGTTTTAGACATAAGGAAGTCCCTTCTGCTTTAACCCTCACAAAGGAAGTAACTAACATTAAGCAATCTGCTTTTTGTATTGTGATATTTCCTTGTTCCTGCTAAAGCTACCTTATAAAAATGGATAGTTCTGCTATATCCAGTTTAATTAACACATCTGTTATTTTAAGATGAGATGATACCTGATTAATTGCAAATACATCATTTAATTAAATATGTTGAAATTTTATCTTTTGATAAAAAACAAAGTTGTCTGATGGGGCTGGTGGTAAGAGTCCGGATTTATAGAATCTGTGATGACATTATAGTTTTGATTTGATGGAGTTTATCTCTTTTGTGAATTAGGGTGCATTTTGAAAGTTGTGATTTCCTTTTGATTTTATTTTTTTTTATGTCACTCTGACTTTGGTGTGGAAAAATGCAGTCTATGGTGTTACGAGATTAAGTTAGCATGGCAAATAGAAGGCTTTTAAAGGCTGTTGGAACAGAGGAATATCTATTTAGAAAGTATGACATTTATGTCTCTACCACCTATATTCATGATTCTACCATAAAAATGAATCACAATGAAGTATCAAATATACTAGAAGAAATTATGGGAGGACATTACAAATGAAAATATTTATATGCTGAGCAGCGGCAGTGGGGGTCCTGGGGCTGTGATTCTGTGGATGTTGGCAAATTGGGCCCAGGATATAGAGAGTGCAGTGCCTGACAGCATGTCTGTTGTGAGGCTGGGTGGGGTAGAGAGGAGGTGGTTGTGGTGGGAGGCAGTGAATCTATATAAATAGAACCCAAGCAGGATCAAAAGGCTAAATTCCAGGAGAGTGAGTGCTGGGCCTTTTCTTTATGAAGCAAAGTCTATAAAGGCTGCCCTGAAGGACAATCAAGTGAAATGCTTTATACATTATGGTGGTTGGCATAAAAATGGGGTGAATGGCGTCCAGAGTACAGATTATTCAAACACATGAGCAATGAATTTCAGAAACAGCGAGAACTTCAAAACACCAATCAGGAGCAGCACATCAGAGGAGAAGATGAGAGGAGCTGCCTCAGTGATCTGATCTGCCACAGGAAAAATGTTGGTATGAAAGCAAAATGGAACAGTTAAAAAAAACACCTGGAAATGGAAAAAGTGGTGGTGAGACACCTCAGAATCCTTGGAAGAAAAAAAAGCCCAGGTAGATCCTACTGTTAAAAATAAAATTACATTCATGAGTAGTGTTTAAGATTCCCAAAGAGCTAAAACCATGTCTGAATGATGATTACCAGACAAAAACAGCTCTGTTGTCTTCCTGCCAAGAATGGGGACTCCATTTTAGAGCATTATGCAAATTAGAAGAAATCTCTAAGAAGCATAGATAATGAGGAGTATGCTGTTAATGAAGTTGTGACAGGGCTAGTTCAATATGATTTTGGGAACTTGGCTCTTCTGTATTTCAGTATGCTGAAATCCCCACCTATCATCCCAACAGTCACCTGTGTTAGGTTTATGGACCTGGGACATATAGTGAGACTATTTGTACAAAATGAAGTGATGCCGGTCTACACACCCTGGATGAAATGAGTCTTGCTTTATCACTGAACCACTCACATTTCCTGAAGTATCTGGTAAAGATTTTAGCAACTACTTTTGGTGCCAGTGATTAGGAAATGGCTCTTCCTACACCATTGGAAAGCTGTGTGAAAAGCATTCTCACTTATGTTTGGATAAAAATGGTTTTGTTCGTAGTCCTTCTCTTGTGTAAGTTATATGCTTTGAAGATGTTGGTGAATAACAGAATTGATGTTTGTTTCTGTTTGATTTTAGCCAGAGAAAGTAAAAGGGTTATAACTCATTTTTTTTCTTTTCAACAGTGGACAACAGAGAGACATGCTGTAGAGGGTTTTATTACCTAGTTGACAAAGCTTCTATTTTTTTTCTTTTTTTTATTGGTTGTTCACAACATTACAAAGCTCTTGACTTATCATATTTCATACATTAGATTCAAGTGGGTTATGAACTCCCATTTATTGAGCACTGGTGGTTCTCTTCCCCAAACCATGTACTTTTATAATATGTGTTAATGCCATGTGACAAAATGCTCTGATCCCTAGTGTCACGTATTCAATTTAAATTTAGTATATATAACTGAACACACTCATCCATTTGTGCTCCTTTTTTTTTTTTAAGGTGCTTTTGCTTGCTTCGGCAGTACATATGCTAAAATTGGAATTAAACGGATATTAGCATGGGCCCTGCGCAAAGATGACATGCAAATTTGTGAAGCATTCTGTATTTTTTCAAAAACTATTTGGGAATCAATCTAACAAAAGAGGTGAAAGACCTCTACAGTGAAAACTATAGAACACTAAAGAAGGAAATTGAAGGAGGCTGTAGAAGACGGAAAGATCTCCCATGTTCTTGGATAGGCAGCATTAACATTGTCAAAATGGCCATACTGAGGCTGGGATTGTGGCTCAGTGGCAGAGCACTTGCCTTGCATGAATAAGGCACTGGGTTTGATCCTCAGCACCACATAAAATAAATAAATAAAATGAACATATTATGTCCATCTACAATGAAAAAAAGTTATTAAAAAATGGCCATACTACCAAAAGTGCCAGACAGATTTAATGCAATTCCTATTAAAATTCCAATGATGTTCCTCATATAAATAGCAGTCATGAAATTCATTTGGAAAAATAAGAGGCCCAGAACAGCCAAAGCAATCTTTTGTGAGAAAAGTGAAGCAGGAGGCATTACAATACCAGATATTAAATTATACTCTAGAGTGATAGTATAATAAACTGCATGGCATTGGCACCAAAGCAGACATGAAGACAAATGGTATAGAATAGAAGACACAGAGAGAAACCCACATTAATACAGTTATCTCATTCTAGACAAAGGTGCCATAAACGCATGTTGGAGAAAAGATAGCCTATTCAACAAATGGTGCTAGGAACACTAGGAATCGATATGAAATAGAATTAAGTGAAATTAAACTCCCTATCTTCTTCCTGCACAAAACTCAAAGTGGATCAAGGGCCTAGGCATTAGACCAGAGATTCTGCACTTATTAGAAGCAAAAGTAGGTCCAAATCTCCATGATGTCAACTTAGGAATTGAATTCTTCAACAAGACCCCTATAGCACAAGAAATAAAATCGAGAATCAATAAATGGATGGTATTAAACTAAAAAGCTTCTTTACAGCAAAGGAAACAAGAATGTGAAGAGAGACTATAAATGGGAGAAAATCTTTTCCATCTGCACCTCAGAGCATTAGTCCCCAGGATATATAAAGAATTCAAAGACATAAAAAAGAAAGAAAGAAAACCAAAATCCAAATAACCCAATTCATAAATGGACAAAGGAACTGAACAGACTCATCACAGAAGAAATATGATCAGTCAACAAATATATGAAAAATTGTTCAATATCTCTAGCAATTAGAGAAATACAAATTAAAACTATACTGGGATTTCATCTCACTCCACTCAGAATGACAATTATTAAGAATATAAGCAACAATAAGTGTTGGCAAGGATGTGGGGACTACATTTTGTTGGTGAAACTGCAAACTGGTGTAATCACTATGGAAATTAGTATGGAGATTCCTCAGGAAACTTAGAATGGAACCACCATTTGACCCAGTTATCCTACTCTTTGGTTTATACCCAAAGGACTTAAGCATACTATAGGAATGCAACCATATCAATATTTATGGGAGCTCAATTCACAATAGCTAAGCTATGAAACTAGACTAGATGCTCTTCAACAGAATAATGAATAAAGAAAATGTTGTGTGTATACACAGTGGAATATTTCTCAGCTATAAAGAATTATGGCATTTGCCAGTAAATGGATGGAACTGGAGACTATCATAGTAAGTGAAATAAGTCAATCCCAAGTGTCTAAAGGCTGAATGTTTTCTCTAATATGCAGATGCTAACACACAATGTGGGGAAGAATAGATGTTCATTGGATTAGACAAAGGGGAATGAAGGGAAGGGAGGAAAGATGGGAAACAGAAATACAGTAGAATGTATTGGACAGAACTTTCCTATGTTCATATCTGAATACATGACCAGAGTAACTCCATATCATGTACAACCACAAGAATGGGAAGTTATATTCCATGTATGTATAATATGTCAAAGTGCTGTCATGTATAACTAAAAAGGACAAATTTTAAAAGGTACTTAAGTAGCCCATCAAGTTGTTCCTTTCTTGTTGCTCAAATTGTTGAACAGTGGTAGCTTCTTAATAATTTTTGTATTTGTGGCCAATGTTTGTTTTAATATGATGAATGCCATGCAATGTATAGCTATAGTTTTCTGGAAAAGTCAATATTTGGGAATTGTTTTTCATATTTTCAATAAACTTTTTTCTTTAAAATAAAGAAGAAAAAATGTATGTGACAAAGCTTGATAATTGTTATAGGTAACAATTCAGTCAGAAAAAACACAAACAACTTGTGACAGAGATGTACACCTCAGATCCCTCACATAAGGGTTGCTAGCTGCAGGGAGTGTGGTTAGCTAAGAGCCTCCAGTGGCTAATTCCTTCAGATTCACCTGAACTATGAAGCTGAGGTTACCTTGCTCTTGGATGGCCCACACCAGTGATAGGGCAGCTCTATGGCACAAGGTCTACTCTCATTGGTGACATTTACTTTAGAATTCCCCATGTGGTGGGCAGAGACATCACATTCCTGTAGATCTCCTTGACCCACCCTGCTTCCTCCCCTTTTCTACAGAACCTCTTAAATCGAAAATCTCTTCCCCTCTTGAGCCCTTCATGAATTTAAGAATTTCACCTTCTCTATAGAGAATTCCACGATTACCCTCCATACTACTTCTTCCCTCAATCCTGCCACACTCCTTCCACTATCCCCATTCCCTTTGGGGATAACCATGGCTATCCATTAACCAAGGGCTAACCATTCCTGTCCACAGGCACTGGAAGCCCTTATGATCACCCCATGAGGACCTCTTTGATTATCCACTTTCCTCACCTGACTTAACCATTTTTGTGGATGGCAGTTTGGTGATGGGTTGTGATGGACAACATAGGGCCAATATGCTGTAGTCACTCTACCTCTGTTCTACAAGCCAGCTGCCTTCCTGAAGGGATCCACCTCCCAGAAGGCTGAAGTTTTTGCACTTATCAGAGCTCTCACTCTATCCAAAGATAAACAGATTAGCCTGTACACAGATTCCAAATATGCCTTCCTAATTTCTCAGTCCTATTTGACTATTTGGAAGGAACATGGATTCTTGACCACAAAGGGATCACCAATGGTCAATGCCTCTCTGATTTCCAAACTGTTAGAGGCACTACTGCCATCATGAGCGGCCATCATACACTGCAGAGGACATCAAAATTCCTCTGACCCAATAGCTATAGGCAACAACAAAGCAGACTCTATAGCATGAGAACTAATGGCAAAATTCTTAGCAGCCCCTATCCTATTTCTATCTACCACAATTAAACCTAACTATTAGGGCTGGGGATGTGGCTCAAGCGGTAGCGCGCTCGCCTGGCATGCATGTGGCCCAGGTTTGATCCTCAGCACCACATACAAACAAAGATGTGTGTCCGCCGAAAACTAAAAAAATAAATATTAAAATTCTCTCTCTCTCTCTCTCTCTCTCTCTCTCTCTCTCTCAAAAAAAAAAAAAAAAAAAAAACCTAACTATTACCCACAGGAATGACAGGACCTAAAAACCCAAGATGACCATTTTGGGGATGATGGCTGGGGGATCATCCTGGGGGATCAAATTGCCCTTCCTAAACAGCAAGCTTATATTTTATCAATGGACATTCATATCTCTCTTCATATTGGCCCCAAACCCCTTTTTCCAGTTTTTGCAACCCCTCTTTTACTTCCCAGGGGTGAGAATACTCTCCAGCAGGTCCACTCCCCTTGTTCTGTCTGCTCTATAGTATCCCCACAAGGGGACATCAAACCTAAAATCCCCATGCATCAGAAGAGGGGCCACCAGCCAGACAAAGACTGGAAGATTGACTTCACTCATATCTCAGGCACAAAAAGCTTCACTACCTACTTACTTTGGTTGATACTTTTTCAGGTTGAATAAGAAGCCTTCCCTACCTCCAGGGAAACTTCTGACACTATCACCTCCATCCTCATCGAGCAGATCATTTCCAGTTCCTGCCTCTATCCAGTCCGACAACAGTCTAGCCTTCACTTCTCAGTTTGTTCAAGTAGTCTCCAAAGGCCTCAACATCACTTGGAGGCTCCACATCCCATACTGACCCCAATCCTTGGGTAAGGTTGAGAGAACTAATGGCATTCTCCAGGATCATCTCACTAAACTTTCTATTGAACTCAGGCCCTCCTGGCCCAATCTACTGCTGTTGGCCCTTACCTGAATTCGGGCATCCCCTGAAGACCCCTCAGGCCTTAGCCCCATTTGAGCTACTCTATGAGTACCCCCTCTTTTTAAATATTTTTTTAGTTGTAGTTGAACATAATACTTTTATTTATTTATTTTTATGTGGTGCTGAAGATAGAACCCAGGGCCTCACATGTGCTAGGCAAGCACTCTACCACTGAGGCACAACCTCAGCCTTGGGCACCCTTTCTTAATCAACCAAAGATTTCCAGTCACTCCTCCTCCCCTTGTGTCATACTTGCCTTATCTCACACTTCTACACAAACTCCTAAGGGAACACGCAGACCAGTGCCTTCCTGTGCCATCCATTGCCTCAATCCCAGCACAACCACAGACTGAATTGGACACTCTTCAACTGGGTGGCACAGTCTTACTTTGGGAACTGCATCCTCAATCATTGGAACCTCACTTGCTGGGATCCCATACATTCATACTTACTACCCCAATGGTGGCCAAGCTTTTGGGCCACTCCCCCTGGTACTACGTCTCCTGCCTTAAAAAGATGTCTGTCCCAAATTCCAGTCCTGGGCTTCCACCACACTGGGGCCTACCAAACTCAAGATTTCTCAACAATCCTCATCTTTTTTTACTAATCATTAATCTCTCTCAAGCTTCTCTCTCAACCCATAGATGGTGCTTTTACATCCAAGCAACATGGCACCAGGATGGCACCACTCACTCTCAGTTTATGGGTCAAGGCGATAGTGTTTCCACTGGGTGCAATCAGGCGGTCACCCTTAACATTACTGGATTCAACCAAGCCACCTTGTCCCACCTGTGTGCAGCAATGCTATGCTTCATATCAGACCAAACTGAGAAATCATGTAAGCACTGTCCTAACACCTATGGCGGGTACCCTTGTAATTCATGCAAGAAA